TTTGAAAGCCCGGAGCACAGCAGGCATGCATAGCGGCCCTACACGCTGCACCAAACGCAGCCGGGCACCCGGAAGAACTTCACCGCGAATGTTCGCGATGAGACCCCAAAAGTCCTCCATCAAAAATGACAGTGATGCAGGGTGATTGCTACTAGGAGCAAGAAGCTACTAAAAGCAAAGGGCATCGCTACTAGGAGCAAGGACACTAGGGGACAAACGTCTTGCAGCTTGCTGTAGCATGCATGGAGAGCTGATCCGATTCTCAACTGTTCGACATGAACAACTAGCAACTGGTCTACAATGATTGTTGGCAGCATTCGTGTGGCATGCTGAATCCAGTCCCACAGATTCCAAGGTGGGAATCCTCCAGTCCCTGGCGATACATGAAGAACGTGATGATCTTCTGGTATACCTGGGAAAGCAGTCAATCGAGAGCAACAATGATATACAGTGAGGTATTTAAACATACAGTACATCCAGCATCATCCAGCATAAGACTACCACGAGCCCAAACATACCACCGCTCACAGTCAACAAGGTCATTCATGTTCATTTCATTAGATTTGGTATGATTTGGTTCTCCTATGCCGAAGATTCTCAAACACTTTTATCATGCACTGCATTTTGCGGTTTTTCCAACTCACCTGTTACAGGATTTGAACCTCATCACCTCTGTGTTCATCCTGAACTTCGAAGCACAATCGAGTCAAATCTTCCAGTGGCACGGAGCCCCTGGCCTGGATTGGGATAGGTCGAGTCTGGGCAGCAGGAAGTGTCAACTCCGTAGCCAAAGTGTGGCTTGCCTCGATGCACACACTATGTGAGGCTCCAATCGAGCTCCTCACGTGTAAAAAAAACAAAGCAAGCAAAGCAGGTAGAATTTGCCAACTGACGGAAATAGAGGCATTCCAATTGGAATGACTGAGTTGCAGAGTCTGACCTGCTCGGACTGTAGCTCATGATCGCTGTTGGGCAATTGAGCAAGTGACGAAAGGGCTGTGGATCCGAACCTTGCCAAAGAGCTTTTTTGGAGGGTGTGGAAGGCGAACTTGTGAAGAGGGACATTGCCTGGCAAAAAGTTGGCACTGATACCCTGTCGATCCATACGTGGTGCCAAAGTAAAGTGGCTTCCGGAGAAATGGCCCCACCCTCCTACTTAAATTAAGTAGGCGCCTACCTAATCGAGCAAGGGACAAACTTGTAAGCTACTAGGAGCTTATTCGCTCGTGGCTAGGACGCAGGATAGCTCACGCTTCTTCGAGGAAGCTCCCCCCCGTCTCAGGGCAGGGGAGCTTTCTTGAAGAAGCGCTCCCACTAATGATTTGGTTCCTAGATTTTGGGGGGAAACTTAACATGTGCCAACACACCAACTGTGCCAAATGGTTGTGGGTCGCTTTACTGACGAGAGAGAAAGGCAGCGAGAGAGCCCCATCGTATCGAGGCGGCTTCTAAAGACTCTAAAGTTGGATCACATCCTGTCTTTCAGCAAGTGCAACACTTGTTTAAAAAAAACACTGATTCAACATGATTCAACGCCTCACCGATACTAGCGACATAAAGCAATCAGGGCCTCTTCAACAGAAACGCCAAGCCTGCATGCGCAAACCAACAACGTCAGGAACTCCTCATGTGAGTAGTTCCTACATGCTCTGTTGTCCCTCTAACCAAATCCCTCTTTCGCCTGATTTCTTCCCCATTCACCACAAAGGAATGTTGCTGTATGTGGATTCCAGGCTTTGGACTTACTCTGGTGCCACAGCACGTGAAGTCTTCAGACAGGACAGGATGAACATGTTTTAAAAACAAACAAAACAGAACATCCGATACATGGGAGCTTTCACTTGCATTATGCCAGTGCCACGACAGCCGTATGCAAACATTGTCTCGTACATGACTTTAGCACCCCAAACCCACAACTCCCCTCGGGCTGACATCCCCGACATATCAACCATAAGCTCTGGTCGCAACAGAGCAGACACAAGGAGAGGCCGGACAAGGTCCTCGCAGTGTGCCAATATGGATCCGGCTAAATAGACATACCTCTTCAAAGGCAGGACTTTGGAATCTAACAACCAGACCAGACGCAGTACTGTAACTAATTACGTTGATGGCAGTTCCATGAGCTCTATGCTTTCTTTGTAAGGCATGTGGTTCAAGCACCAGCCATTGGGAATTGCTTGCAGCTCTGTTTGAAGCTCTCGGTCCATGCAATGCTTGTCTACAGTATCTACATGATCAGTTTGAGTTAGGCTTCAAGCAGAAGATGGAAAACACCTGGGAGCGGGCGACGAAGCCCACAGCTCCTCAAACACCCAGAAGCGGATGGTGGTATCTCGACTGCTACTCACCTGTGCAAGCGGCATGCTCAAAGTTCTGCGCATAACGCAAGACGCACTGTCACGGCCTTGCGTCCACAACAAGTGAGCTAGAAAAATAATTAAGCTTCAATGACCTAGAACAGGGCCGTCGCTGTTAGGTTGGAGGCCATCGCTCTTAGGTTGGAGGTCATCGCTCTTAGGTTGGAGGCCATCATCGCTATTGGACACAAAGAAAAAAAAATAAAGAAAGGTCTACTTGTTCTCTTTCAATGACGCTTGTCGACCTCCTTGACGAGGAAGTCAACACCAAGCATGTATATGTATATATATACAGTATATGAAATCCATCTCGCTGTGGCCCCGAGCCAAGAAAAAAGGCCGTTCTGGATGCACAGCAAGTCCTTGAACAGCTTCGGAAAGGGAAAAGCTTCTTGCAATGCAGGATTCCCTAGAAAAGTGTGCCCTGCAAATCCAGAATCAATCAGGTGACTGAAGGCAAACTAACGACTACTAAACTCCTGTTTTTCCAACCTCACGACCCCAACAGCCGAGTTTGGTGCCATAGACATCAGCATGGTGCTCGTAGGCAGTGTATAAGCACCTGCGGTGCTGGTTGCTGACCTGGATGTGGTCTGAAAACGTCACCTTTCCAGGCTCTGTGAAAACAAACGTACAATAACATACCAAATAAAATGAGTTTCTCACAATGCGGCACGAAAGCCTCAACTTCATTCACCTAGGAACTCATTCCTTCACAGTTGTGCAAGCAAGTCGTGCAAAGTGGCAAGTGGGTGGAACGACCTCATGTCCTTCTCTTCGTTCATCCTGTGACAGCACAAACTGACCAGACTTGAAGGATCAACCCTCCTCACCTGGACTCAACAGCATCCCAAACACGGATGGTGGAGTCCCAGGATCCACTGAACCTTGAGGGTCGATAAATCTCAACACTCTCAGCACCAAGATGGTGTTGACGTTCACATGTGTGGATAATTTGATATGCAGGGAAAGTTGTGCTTCGCCACACCAAAACCTCCAGCTTTTCTTAAAGTGAGCTCTTCAGGACCGCCAAGTGACTTCTGAGGGGTTGAGTGACCTCAAACTGGCTACTGGGTCTGTTTGAGGAACTTGGTCGACAGTCCAAGCATATGGACAACCACCACACTGCAAGGCCTGAAAGATCCAAGATTTGTGAAACAGGCAACAGGCTTGGCAGTTAGGCCCAGAACTACAATTTATTGAAACAGCGTCCACACAAGGCAAAATACACACGAGGTAGCTGAAGTCGATTTTTTCCGACTTTAAATAGCTGTAATTATCTAGCAGCTAGCATTGTGCCTTACAGAAAAGGATCAATGCGTTTGATAACAAGAATACAGTTTTGTGCGGCCTCCCAACCATCAAACAACAAACAGTTGCATCGGCAAGCGCAGCAAAATATGGCGGCACCTATACTTTTCTGTGCAAGGTCTTCTGTAGTCCTTCCATTCTCTCTCTCTCTCTCTTTCTCTCTCTCTCTCTCTCTCTGTCTCTTTCTCTCTCTATCTCTCTCAGCTTCCCTGCAATATCTGTGGCAACTCTGTGTGCCAAAGGAGACCACGCACATAGGAGCTGTGGCCAACCAACCTTGAACAAGTCTGAAAGCTGGATGCCAAGTGACATGCAACATTGCATTGGCCGCATCAAAGGGTCTGTCTCTTTCGGACGTAGACTATATAATCTGCGAGTACATAGCCTTGGTTCAAGAACCAGTATCTCCTCGCTGCTGCGCGTGAAGACACCAGCGATTTCTTAGCATTCCACTCAGCATTTAGCAGCTTGCGAGCTTGTGGTGCTAATATATATATATATATATACTTACTAAATGGTCGTTATACATTTTGTTCCTTGCAAAACAATTATCGGAGCTTACGCATACTCTGCTGGCCTTCGGAGCTGCCGCTGGCCACGAAAGCTTGGGGTCCAGTTCCAAATGCGGATTGTCTGGCATGCGAAAGACCAAACGGGTGTCTTTATATAGGTCTATCAATGTTTGTTGTGTGAAATTGAAATGGCTAGTTCATACTATATAGATCTATATAGTCCTTCAGGTTCTGACAATAAAATCTGACCAACAGAACAACCAAAATGCAACCACACACCTCTGCCCGTTCTCTGGATGCTTCTGGCAAACAATGTGACATAAACACTTCAAACTTCAATCTGATGCACTACACATACAGGTACACGCATCTCATGTCCTTACAAATTGGACTTCATGTCGACCAACCCAGAGCATGAGTGATGCATCCACATTTACAAATAGTCGGGATGCGAACCCGGTCATCACTGCCGGAGCAAATGATGCTGGGCAAAATCGGGTGAAATGCCACGTTGAAAACCTCAGTCGCATCTTGGCGAACACTCTATGGATGTGGGCTGAAAGTAATTACAAAGAGCAGGCTGAGGAGGCTTGTCCTTGCTTTCCTGCGCTGGCTTGTCACCACATGTCACCACCTCCGAGAAGTTCATTCCGCCTGCTTGTCAACAGCCTTGCCGACATCTTGTCCTTTTACCGTATACATGTCATAAAATATATAATATGATGAAATATATATCACCATCCTGTTCCAAGCAAAGGCAGTGGCCACTTGGTGACAATCGTCAAACAACCACAGGGAAGCATCTCTGGCAGCATTGTTTCGCATCTTTTGTCTGGAGCGCTGCTACTCCAAATGTAACTCAATGTCGCTCTCACGTCCGCTTCAATCGCGCTTGTCTCTGCCTTCTGCTCTTGGCAACCTGCAGGATGCGCTGCGCAGCAAGCTCCATCAAGCTTCATTTGAGACCTCCTTTGGCTCTTGCAAACACCAATACTGCAGGAAGAAGAGTCTTTTAGGACAGACGATTGCAGCTGTTGATCCTGTGAAGCTCAAAGCGATTGTAAAGGGCTACCTATTCAATCCTATTCATATTATGTTCACGATCTGTGGCTATGCCAGACTTTGCTATTCACTATCAACGCTGAGTGCCAAGTCTCAAAGGAGCTGGGCCTCTGCTGGGACTTCAAAGAGCTTCGTGGGGCAGGTATGCAAATACCGATCTAGGTAGTGGTGCACCAAGACCTGCGTGGCGAAGCACCTCTTCCCAGCCTCTTCCCATCTCACAAATATGAACAGTTTACCTTCTTTCTCTAATACTTCTTCATGGGTAAACAATGTCAAGCATCGAGCATCTAACAAATGGACCATGCAAAAATGTGTCTAGTCTGGTGTGCTCAGCACCAATTTTTGTGCTAGGTCTGCTAGGTGTCCTTTTCTTGGTATAGGTTGTCCGATCAAGACTGCTGCCCTTTCTGGTTGGTCAAAAACCAGCCAAGCTGCAATGCAATGGCTTCCTAGCAGCATGTCTGGGCCAAGAGAGATTCGATGGACCTGCTTGGCAGCAAACATCGGAGGCAGGCTAGGGGTAGTTGTGAAAAATTCGAGTCATGAAACACATAAGATTCATATATATATATAATAAAAGTATATTATATTAACACGTCAAATCAAGAGCGACCAAAAAAGAGAGACTCAAAAACATCCAAACTCAAAGAAACACAAATAAATCTATGGACTGGTTTCGTCAAAGTAGGAAAAATGGTAGCTTCACTGCAATAACCACATTGACATACCATAAGAACAGTAGCAGTTTAAACTCGGTGACATGGGCGACCTCAGACTGAATTAGACCTGGATTCGCAACCTGTTCACTCATGGGCGCCCTTTTTGTCACTCTGACTCTAAGTGCGAAAGCGGTCGTTGACCAAATGTGTGCTCCAGGGAATTAGTGTCATGCACTGGTGGTATGATGGGCAAGCAATCCCAAGGGTTTTTGGAACTGATGTCTATCTTGCAGAAAAAAAATAGGGGGTGGCCTAAGGCCCTCCCTCTCACAGCCCCCCCCTGGAATAATGAACAAATTATTCTGACCACTATCCAAATAGATTCTGAAAACTATCCCAATATGTCATTCACATTGCAGAATAATTTTCAGACTTCTGTACCTGATACACTCAAGAGAGAAAATTTATGTGAACGGGCTCAACTTTAGTTAAATTTTGGTGTGGAAAAGTCTGTGTGTTGAAAAGTCAAATTTAACATATTCTGTGTGTTGTCTAGGAATGTCTATAGGAATGTTTAGGATCTTTCCTCTGATATGTTCGTTGATCTTCTGTTCTGTGAGACCTTCTGGCTCTGAAACAAGAGATAAGAGCAGCGTTGCAGATACGGACAGGTTAGATTGACACAGCCAGCATCAGCCAGATCGAGGGTGGCTTGCAAGAGTATTCTAAAATTATTCTGAATTCCAGGGTAGTACCTTAAACCACTACCTAGCTTGAATATTATGTAATCGAAATTATATACTCCAAAAAAACTATCCCAGTAGGTGACATGACCCCTGGAATAATTAATTAGGCCACCCCTTATTAAAAAAAATACATAATATATGTGCGTCACATTGCACATGTTCGATCAGTAGTTTTGGGTCACATTACTTGGGTTTCAAATTATATACCTCAGCTGTCCGTACAATTGGAAACCCACAGCTACACTGACTGTTCAAAAAGTGCAAGCGAACCCGCTGTTTAACGTATAACATTATATGATATAATAAGCAACACGTATATCTTGTCAACATCGATTGCGATCTCTTGACGCTGGCCAGATCAGATTGTCATGGTCAAGAGTCTTAGTTGTCTTGGTATCACAGGGTACCCATGTCTTGGGTCAAACCAAGAAAGAACAAGGTAGCAAGGTGAAACCTTGAAGTCTTCAAGGTCCAAGCGAGACAAGAGTTCCAATAGAAGAACAAAGAGATGACAAAAGAATCCTTAAAGATTGTGTTTCTATATCCTTATTTGCCCATGTTCATCATTCTCCCTTGGGCCCTCTCCTGATAGGTACTAATTGCAGTAGGGTCATTTGCTTGACGTTGCAAGTTGCCCTCACATCACGCAGCTCTGACAAGCACAAAGCCTGGCTTGCGCACATGATTTCGGCCCTTCGGCCAGACAGTGCACCGCGTTAAACGCTGGCCTGCTGAGCGCCTGCTGGGTCGCAGTCGGTGGCATCTAGAATCTGGACACAACTGCAATTTGAGTGGCGAAGTGCTTGTACACAACCCATGGTTTGAATCTAGCTTTTCTGCTGCAAGCTCTGTATGATGGCCCGCAGCACCGAAGGCTTGCTCTCCAGCTGGGGTTGGCAATTCACGAATCCGCAAAATGCCCACAAATGCACCTTGTTCAAACATCCTTGGCAGGATTGTTCTATGGGCATGAAATTGCACGAGGCTGATCCAGCAAAACCTCAAACCAACTGAGAGGCTCAACACTGTATAATAACAACAAAAACAAAACACTCTCTGTGCCACATCATATGTTGCTGGATCGCAATCACATGCAATCATGCTCCGCTGTAGGGCTGCAAGTCCGTAGCTCTCTTCCACTCTTTTAGCGTGTGGAGCCAGTGCACGGCAAAGCCAAGTCTTGCACATGTTTGCTCTTTTCAGAATGTCTTGTCGCTAAACGTTCTTCACACCGTCAACCATGTAGTAGTCGAAACGTAGGGGCGGGATCTTTGATTGATCCTTCGTTTGATCTTGATCCTAACCCCCTGGTAGAAGCGGAGGGCAGTTCCTTTAATTAGTGTCAAACATACCAAAAATATTTATTTGCGGCGCCTGATTTTTCAATGGCAACAGGGACCGCTTTTCGCTAGCAGTTTGTTCTAGTGGCCGACAGCAATCCCCCCAAAGAACATCTCTCACAATATGTAGCAGTTTCTCTTCGCTTGCGACATGAAGCTTTCTAACCAACCCCGGCTTCACTGAGCGAAGAATACAAAGAGCCAACAACTCTGGTTACATTAAATGTCTGTTCCCCCCCGCGCAATAATTCAAAGGGCATAGAGTCGGACATCGGGTGTATTGCGCTTATACTCAGGAAGTGCAGCTTTTGTCCAGTGCTGTATTGTCCTGCTTTCCGTCCACGTCAGCGGAAAAAAAGAAACCCTCAATAGAAGCCATCTCTGCAGCGTAATTACCTGCAACATGCCTGAGCCTTGCGTCAATATGGGCCGATCATGCAGCATGTTGAGCAAGCTAATTGCCCGACACTGCAAGTGTTCCTCCAAAGCGGTCCATGCCCTTTTGGCGCCTGAAACTCAAATGCATACGTACGTGTGTGTGGGCACGTTTGGAGTGTAAATCTCAGTTCCACATAGTTCCACAACCAGCGATACAATATTCACCTCGGAGCTGTTACTTGGAAACGAGTCTGATTTTCTATAGAAAGCTGCTTTGATCTCTTTGTGTGTTGCACTTGATTCCTTAAAGCCTCAGAAGTTTGACGCAAGAGTGGCATCTGGCAACATGTGGCAATGCCAAACCTTCAGCTCATCCCTTGAGGATAGGCCTTCTTTGCAAGACTTTGCACAACCGGATCACAAGCTCAGCCGCCCTCAATCAGTTGTTTTCGTCTGAGCACATTGTTATTTACTAATGTATTTTAGGTTTGCACACTTTGGCATCCAAATTCATTGCTCGAAGACCCGGCTTGCAAAATCATGGTGTTCAGCACTCATCTACTGGACATGGAGACTCGACTCACATAGACCACGAGGAAAAGGTCAATGATCGTTGACTTGGAGAAGACCACAAGAGCCCCTAGTAGCTTCTTGTTCCTAGTAGTACGGCCAGGAGCCCCTATATAGTAGCGTCCTTGCTCCTAGTAGCGATGCCAGGAGCCCCTAGTAGCTTCTTGTTCCTAGTCCGCCTCTATACCAGACAGGTTGCACCAAGTTTGACTCATGCCCGACTCAGGTTTCGGAACTCACCGGGGCTTCTGCTGCGGACTACCAGCGTCATGAGCAAGGAATCCTCTCAACGCTTGGGAGCGCCCAGCGACACTGCTTCTCTCTTTTTTGCTGCGGTCTTTTTTGCTTCTGGGGCTAAGGTCCTCAGTGCGCTGCAACGAGTATTCCTACACTAGCGTCCTTGCTCCTAGTAGCGATGCCAGGAGCCCCTAGTAGCGTCCTTGCTCCTAGTAGTAAGGCCAGGAGCCCCTAGTAGCTTCTTGCTCCTAGTAGCGATGCCAGGAGCCCCTAGTAGAGTCCTTGCTCCTAGTAGCAAGGCCAGAAGCCCCTAGTAGCTTCTTGCTCCTAGTAGCGATGCCAGGAGCCCCTAGTGGCGTCCTTGCTCCTAGTAATAAGGCCAGGAGCCTCGAGCCCCTAGTAGCGTCCTTGCTCCTAGTAGTAAGACCAGGAGCCCCTAGTAGCTTCTTGCTCCTAGTAGCGATGCTCTTTGTTCCTAGTAGCGTCCTTGCTTCTAGTACTAAGGCCAGGAGCCCCTAGTAGCTTCTTGCTCCTAGTAGCGATGCCCTGTGGGCTAAGGTCCTCAGTGCGCTGCAATGAGTTTTCCTACACTATTTGGAGACCCGCACCCAAGTAGTTACACCAAGAGCAGGCTCAAGTATTCTTGCAGGCCAGCGTGCAATCAGTGCACTGGTGTGGCAAAATAAAGTCCCCCATTGGGCCCCCAAAAAATAATGGAAGAAACGGGAAGTCAAATAAACATGGAGGTTGTCATTCAACGGGAACAAAAACACGAAACCATAGCCTGTTCTGAAGGTCCAGCAAGTGGAACCAGTAAACTCAGTAAACACTAAGCACGGCAAGTCTGCGATAACGGAACAACATCCGAGAAAACAAATAAACCTTAGTGGGAAAAACTCTTATCATGATCCAATATTTCACAGCCTTGCGTGCGACAACAAAAACCTATCCCGACTCAAGATGAAACCCGACTCAGTAAAAACCCGGCCAACTAACCGCATGTTAAAAGCAGGTTCGAGGCATTGGGAGATGCCAAGGAACGAAGTGATTGAAATACCTCGCCATTTTTGCAAGTTTTATGTCCTCGGAAAGGATCGGAAGTTGGACAGTGAACGGGCACAACAAATCTTGACCACGCCAATCTATAAACTGTTTCATCAACAATCATGCAGTATGAAGAACGAAACGCCCTAATTTCGTGGTTTGCAACGCTCCGCCATCATACGTTTGTCCGTTTGTGCGTATTCCACGCCACGCAAAATGATGGCACCTGAAACACAACAACCTGGACACTTAAAAAATAACTTTAGAAGATCACAATGACCTCTAAACGCAGTCAAAAAATCCATCATATCTGATGTTCGGAGGAGACCAACCATGCCTTTGTTGTTGAAACATGTTTGTCCTCTTTGTTGTTTGGCCCACCAAAATATCTATTTAATTCACCGTTGCTACCGAGAAAAAAAGTCAAACACGCTTATTTTAGTCAAATCAATCTATATAAAGTGGGTTGCACTAGGTCAAATGTCAATTGTTGTTGAAATCATTGAATCATA